CTTAAAGAGTACAATTCAGTGATTTTCAGTATATTCACAGAAATGTATTTCCATCACCACAGTCAATTTTGAAACATTTTTATCATCTCAGAAAGAAACCCTGTACCCTTAACCTATCACCCTCCTCTCCCATCACTTCAGCCCCCACTTCTCCAGTCCTAAGCAACACTAATTTAATATTGGTCTGTGTAGATTTCCCAGTTCTGGACATTTCATATGAATGGAATCATATAATATGTGGTCTTCTGTGATTGACTTCCTCCACTTAGCATAATGTTTTCAGTGTTCATCCATGTTATAGCATGTGTCAGTACTTTATTCTTTTTATGGCTGGAATAGTATTTCACTGTATTTATATATAAAGAGAGAGAAAGAGTGTGCAAATGAGAGTGATAAGCACATTTTGTTTATTCTCCAGCTGATGGACATTTGGCTTGTTTCCATATTTTGGCTATTATGAATAATGCTGTTAGCTCTTTTCTGCACAGACTCCCAAATATTTATTGAAAGAATAAATATGGAATCACATTTGCATTACTGGAATAAACTCTACTTGGCATTATTCTTTTGTATAGTGCATTATTCTTTTGACGCTTATAGATTGTTTGCTAGTTTTTTATTTATCATTTTTGCACCTATATGTCACTTTGGTCTGAGGTTTATCATGTTTTGATATTAAGGTTATGTTAGCTTCATAAAATGACTTGGGGTTGCTTTGTATTTTATTTTCCCTGTGGCCTGCAATAATTTAATGTTAGAATTAGCAGTTCAGATAAAATTTAACTTGGAATTTGTCAGACCCAGATGCTATTTTCAATGGGAGAACTTTTGTCTCCTTTTCGTTTTTTTTAAACTAGTTAATCTTTTCAAGTTTTCCTCTTTTTCTTGGGTTAATTTTGATAATTTGCGTTTTGCTAGGAAATTATCTATTCCTTTACAGTTTCAAAGTTATTGCCATCTTGTAACACCAAGGTCAAGGGTTCAGATCCCTGTATCACCCAGATGCTAAATAAACTTTTTTTTCCCCCTTTTTTTGGGTCTCTTTTCGTGTCCGGCAACGGATCGCAACCCTCAGTGTCGCGCCCGTACCGGACCGGGACCGGCATCAGGATCGCAACCCTCGGTGTCGCTCCCACACCTCACTCAGCCAGTGAGCGGGAACCGGTCTGTATGTGGGATCCGAACCCTCGGCAGGAGCGCCTCCGCGCTCCGAAGCAGCGCACTGTAGCAGTGCGCCACCGGGCCGGCCCTAAATAAACTTTTTAAAAAATGGTGAATTAAAAAAAACCACAAAAAACACAAAGTTATTACCATAGGATTTAAGTGGTATTCTTTTTTAAAAAAAAATTTAATTTTATTTTGTCAATATACAATGTGGTTGATTATTGTGGCCCATTACCGAAACCTCACTCCCCCCTCCCTCTCCCCCCTCCCACCCAACAATCTCCTTTCTGTTCGCTTGTCGTTATCAACTTCAAGGAATTGTAATTGTTGTGTCTTCTTCCCCTGCCCCCGTTATTTGTGTATTTATTTATTTATTTATTTTTGGCTCCCACAAATAAGTGAGAACGTGTGATATTTCTCTTTCTGTGCCTGACTTGTTTCACTTAATATAATTCTCTTTAGGTCCATCCATGTCATTGCAAATGGCAGTATTTCATTCTTTTTTATAGCAGAGTAGTATTCCATTGTTAAATGGTATTCTTTTACAGTTCCCTTAGTTACTTATGTATCTGTGGTCATTTCTCTTTTATCAATTCCTTTGGTGTTTGTATTTTTCTTTTCTTTTTTATTCTTAATCAGGCTTGTGCAGATTTCGTCTATTGTATTAGTTTTTGCAAAAATTTAGTTTTGGATTTATTTTTTCTTTGTTGTTTGACTGCAGATCTGCTTGAAAGTCCCCATCTCTCTAGTTTAGTTTCATAATTTTTGTCTACTTCACCCGTTCCCCACACCATGTTTGGATTTTTGCATTATCCATTCTGTTTGTCTCTTGAGTTTCTCAGTTTTTAACTCTGAGGAACTCTTAATCATTTCTAGAAGTATTTACTCAATTTACTTTTCCCCCTTTCTTTCTAGGAGTCCCATTGGATAGATATTGACACTTTTAAGTTTCATCTAAGTCTCTTAGCTTTTAAAAAATGTTTATATTTTCTACTACTTTATTCCTATTTTAATGCTTTGTAGTATAATTTTTTGACCTGAACTTACTGCTTGCTAGTATGTTCTTCCCATCTATTCAATTTGCTAGTTAACCCATCATTTGAGTTTTTTATTTCAGCATTTTTTTTTTCTTTTTGTCTTTTTTCGTGACCGGCAATGGATCGCAACCCTCAGTGTCGCACCCGTACTGGACCGGGACCGGCAACGGGATCGCAACCCTCGGTGTTGCCTCCGCACCTCGCTCAGCCAGTGAGCGGGAACCGGTCTGTATGTGGGATCTGAACCCTCGGCGGGAGCGCTGCTGCGCTTCTCAAGTGGCGCACTGCTACCGGGCCGGCCCTATTTCAGCATTTTAAAAATCTGCATATATCTTCAATTGGTGGATATTTATAACATTTATCTTAAATTTGTTTTCTCTTTAGTCTGTTCTTTCTGTTTCCTGAGTTATAGATTGTTTGGTTTGTTGCCTTTCTTTCATAGTGCTCATAACCTCCAACTGTCTGGATATATTTTAACTGCTAGTACTAAGTTAGAAGTTAGTAATATTTACCTGGGGAGAAGGGTGAAAGACTAGGCTGTAATTTAAGATGATTTCAGGTAGTAGAGATGTGGGTGTAGGGGCATTATTCGGACTGATGCAGTTTGAGGGTTGGCTCTAAAAAGGCACTTCCTGTTGTCCTGTCTAGAAGCATGATCTTCTTCAAGTCTTGCTCTCCCCTGTTCTATTTGTGGAGTGGGAGTGAGGACAGAACACCCAGAAGCCTTAAAGGTCACCTGTACTTGTTACTGTTTCCCAAACTGGTTGTGTTCTAGTGTTTTCCTGATGTAATAATAACCTTCCTTACCCTCCAGCAGGCACTGGGGTGGTAGTAGAGCTTTCCTGTTTTATTGTATTGTGTCAGGTGGGAATTCTCTGCCCAGAGCAATGTAAGGAATGGAAAAGGTCATAACTAAAAAGATCTTTCCTAGTCTGTAACATCTGGCTCTCTCCATCTCTTGGCTGCTGTTTCCCTCCCACTGTAGAAGCCAGTCATTTTTGGTGTTCCCAAGGTTTCTCCTTGTTTGTTATTCGGCTGCTTTCTGCTTTTGTATAATCTCCAGGGTTGGATTGGAGGGAGAGAACCAGGAACACATAGTAGTTTTACATCTTGTGCAGGAATGGAAGGCACAATATTTTTTAATTATCTGTTTTTGTCTGTGCCCCTCATCAAACTAAGCTCCTTAAGGGTAGTGATTATTTCATATACCTTAGCATAGTTCATGGTACAGACTTGGTGCCTAATAAATGCTGAAAGAATATCATTTCAGAAGGATTCTTCCATTAAAAATATGAACTTGCTACCAATACAGAGCTCCCTTCATGTTATAAAAACATGACTAAATTTATTAAAAACTTAATTTATTTAAAAGATTTCAGGATTATATAGATCACTTTAGAGGAGGTTGCTAAAACAACTAACATCACAATATAGTATTTTACAATTCTCAAAACATTTAACGTACATTAAAGCAGGGCTGTTATTGTTATCTCCATTTTATAAGTGAAGAAGCTGTGAATCAGAGATGACAAGAATGTGACTAAGATCAAGCAGCTAATAAATGGGCCTGAAAACAAAGTCTCCTGACTTTAATTTTGCAAAGACTAATGCTTTTCTTGATTCTTCAGTGCTCTTCTATCTTAGTGGGAGTTTGATCAGTGATATTGAACTGACCTGTGCCATTCTGTCTCTCACCTTTTTGTGCTGTGAAAATGGAACTCAATGACTTTCACCCAGAATTTAAAGCCAGAGTGCTTATAAAGGGCTTGTAAGACCTACATGATCTATCTCTTTCTCATCCATCCTTTTCATCTACTTTCTTATGTTCACATTTCTCCTGCCACACTGGGCTTCGTACTGTTCCTCCACTATACCAGATATGCTCCTACCTCAGTATCTTTGAAGGTGCTGCTCACTGTGCTAGGAATTCCTTCCCTCAGGTGGCTTCCTCACCTCCTTCAAATCTCTGTGCAAATGTAACCTTGATGAGATCTTCCTTGACTATCCTATTTAAAAATGCAGACTGTCCCACATTATGTACATGTCACATCCCCCTTCCTTGCATTGTTTTTCTGTTAGTAGTTAGCACATAACCCTTCTAGTACACTCTGCAATTTATTATTCATTGTGGTATTGTCTGCCTTTCCTCATTACAGTGTTAGTTCCAGTGCCTGATACAGTACATGGCTCAATAAATGTGTGTTGAATGAAGGAATGCAGGAAAGAAATACAGTTGATTAAGCAAAACTTTGTTTGTAATACTTGTTTTTCATTAAGAAGTTTAACATTTAAAGTTCTTTTTACCAGGAGCTTGCATTTGTGAATAAGATGGAAATTTAATTCACTAAAATTTGTTTATCACTTCAGTGTTTCTTCTGAGTTGTTATTCATATCAATTTACATAAAATCTATGGACTTTTTTTGAAAAAATATGATTCTGTGTGTAAGATAGATAATAGAGTTTCTATATATTTGTTTTAATAAACAAAGCAGGTTAGTATTGACATATAGGATACCACCTGAGATCTGACTTAATTCTAGTTTTTTAAAGAATATTTTCCTTATGAAACCATCCTTTGAACATTTCCAGCTTGAGGTAGATAGAGGTTGATGTCATTGACATTTTAAAAAATTTTAAATGAAATATATTTTCATTTTTATGTTTTAGAGTATTATTAGTTCTTGTCCTTTTTATGATGAGTTTTAATTCTGTATTCAATATTTGTGGTCAAAAAGTAAAGCAGGAATTTTCTCAATCAGCTTTTACTTTTATTGAAACATTTCTTTTCTTTCTTGTAGATTTGCTTTGAAGTCACGTTGATATAAAATACAGAGTCACCTTTGATAACTTCGCCTGCAAGAGAGAGAGACTTCTTTCTTGTTAAAAAAATAAATAAGGAAAACAAATGACCAAAGGAATCATGCCAAGTGCAAGCTCTACATCTTTTTGTATCATCAAGATGCATTTTTTAATCCATCAAGACAAATGGCTTGTGCATTAAAGAAAATGAGTTGTTCATCGATATTATTTTTAACAGTTTCTAAAACTTTTTCATCTTAACTTTATATAACTCTCCTATAAAATTTAACACATATAAAAATCTTTAAAGCCTTGTTTAAAATAGCTTTCTTTTTTATCTCTTAGAGTGTCAACATATATGCTCCCTAGTTTTACTTGTCAAAGTCCTCAAAATTTTATAACATCGAGAAAGATATGGACTTGGAAACTTATGTTATTGTAACAGACTACAGTGAAATTAAGTGGACAGTTCAAGACATCATCCATTTTATTACAGAACTGTCACATAAGGGTACAATTCTTGGCTTTAATGCAAACAACATTGCTTGAAAATGGCATGGGTAAAATTCTTACGGAAACCTGGTGGCAATCTTGGAAAAGCTTATCAACCAGGGAGTATGCTATCCCTAGCCCCTACCAAAGGCTTGTTAAATGAACCAGGACAAAACAGCTGTTTTCTTAATAGTGCTGTACAGGTGAGACTATAATGTTAAATTTTTAAAAATACTTTTCGGGAAATTCCTTTAATGCCTACTTAATTCATAAATGCCTCTTAAACTCATAAATTGAGAATAAAGTTATTGACTGGAATGACTTTTCAATATAACTTTATGGCAACAAAATATTTTGGTTGGGTATTCTGGTTTTTAAAATAAATGGAAATGGCTTTTTCAACAAAACTATGTATTACTGTTGTATGAAAACATCTTTTGATTTAAAATGTTTGGTGGGGCCGGCTGTGGCTTACTCGGGAGAGTGTGGTGCTAATAACACCAAGGCCATGGGTTTGGATTCCATATAGGGATGGCTGGTTAGCTCACTGGGTGAGCATGGTGCTGACAACACCAAGTCAAGGGTTAAGATCCCCTTACCGATCATCTTTTTTAAAAAAAGAATAAATGAATAAATAAAATAAAATGTTTGGTAATTTAAGAATATGCTTCTAAAATACATAAGGATTTTTGTTTTAATCTGCTAACAACCCTCACCCCCCCATTTCCTTTAAAAGAAATCCAATGTAGATCCCAATAAATAGGATAAAAAAGAACAAGCTGCTTGGTTTGAAATGAAAATACAGAGGTTTTGATCTCAGTACTCAAACTCCCTTCACCGACCACTGTGGCCCTTAATTCACCTTTTTGGCATCACTGTTTTAGTTAAATTGAAGGTTAAACTGTTTTGCATCAATCCTTGTTGAGATTCTTTTAATTAACAAATGTGTATTAACCTGCTTTTCTGCCTTAGATAAATATCCTTTCTTATATATAACATAGTTTTTATTCAGAAGTTCCAGATTTTGTAGTATCTTCTCTCCTTCTGACCATTGATTGTACAATACTAAAGGTGAGGAAGATTTGGAATATTGAAATGTTTTGCTATTGAGTCTGGAATAGTATACCTTAAAAAAATTCATTTAAAATTTATCACTTTTCACATATATTCAATTTTTTTTCTCTCTTTCTTTGTTTTTTTTTTTGTTTGTTTGTTTTGTTGTTGTTGTTGTTGGCTGGCCAGTAGAGGGATCTGAACCCTTGACCTTGGTATTAACAGGGCTGTGCTCTAACCAACTGAGCTAATTGGCCAGCCTTACTTTTCTCTCTTGAAAACTGAGAGTAAATATTGGTTACTTAGCTCATTTGATGAATAAAAATCTAGAATGTGTCTAGTGCTCAAACATCTGACTCAGGTCTATGTTCTCAATTGCACCCTACCTGGGACAAATGTCCACATGAAAATTCGTTAACCAAGGGAAAGAAAAGCAGTTGGTATTAGGATAACATTAATTCTAATTTACTTAGGAACTTTTTTTTTTTTTTTTCCTTTTTGTCTTTTTTCGTGACTGGTAACGGGATCGCACCCCTCGGTGTCGCGCCCGCACCACGCTCAACCAGTGAGCGAACCGGTCTCTACATGGGATCCGAACCCTCGGCAGGAGCGCCGCAGCGCTCCCAAGCACCGCACCCTACCGAGTGCGCCACCGGCCCGGCCCTACTTAGGACCTTTAAATGGCAGTCAGTGTTCTGCCCTGGCTCAAAGGTCCCACTGGAATTAATGCTGTGAGAATGCAGGAAAATATTTATTGAATAGTACTGAATATAGGGAGATATCAGATGCCAAAAGACCTAGAATTAAATGCTTTTGATTGAGTCAGGGTATGAGAAAGTGTTGTTGAGAAGAGGCACTATCCTAGGCCTGTGTGAGCTCTGGGCAGTGTTCACTCTGATCTTTTGTGTGTTTCTTTCTCTGGCTTAGGTAGTTTCTTTCCTCATAGTACCCATTTGAATACTCGAGGGAGGCCCTCTATGGGTATCTGTGTAGCTCTCTCCTCTGCAGTATTCTGCCCTGCCAACCGTAGGAGCTTTAGTTTCCCTGCACTCCCAGCTCTGTCTTCTCAGCTTAGGACATCTGCTGGCCTCTGATGTTAACATGTCTGCCTCAAAAATTAATTAGCAAAGCCAATCCTTACTGACAAACCAACTATTCAAACAGACTTTCTGTCAGAAAAAGCCTAACTGTATTTTTAAAAATTCAAACTACAAATGTTAACATGCAATTTGGTGAATATTTTTAGAAGCTTTTCTCTTTTGGTGGGGTTGGGGCAGGCTGGCCAGTACTGTATGGGGTTTTGAACCCTTGACCCTAGTGTTACAACACTGCTTTCTAACCAACTTAGCTAACCGGACTGCCTGAATATTTTTAGAAACTGCTGAGAAATAAATGTGGAATACATCTTGTAAGAAATTACTAAAAATAGGGCCGGCCTGGTGGCGCACTGCTACAGTGCGCCACTTGGGAGTGCGGTGGCGCTCCTGCCAAGGGTTCGGATCCCACATACAGACCGGTTCCCGCTCACTGGCTGAGCGAGGTGTGGGAGCAACACCGAGGGGTGCGATCCTGTTGCCGTTGCCGGTCCCGGTCCGGTACGGGCGCGACACTGAGGGTTGCGATCCGTTGCCGGACACGAAAAAAGACAAAAAGGGAAAAAAAAAAAAAGAAAAGAAATTACTAAAAATAGACATTATTAAAATGGTAGGAATCTAACATAAGCCAGAAAAATGAATTTATATGCCATTTCTCATTGGAAGTAAGGAGTAAGATGAAAGATTTGTATTCCTTTATCAAATGTATGTGCATATATGTATTGATCTTTTGGGACTAATTAAATAAGTATGTATCAATACTCAAATAACTACATTAATTTTGTTAGGCACCATGTTAGATTGCTACATGCAAATAATAAAAAAGAAAAGTTTATATTGCTAAAAGCTAATTAGTCCAACAACTAGGTTACACTTTAGTTTTTTTAAATAGGTGGTAAACTATCATCGACATTTAAAAACAAAGTAGGATAAGGATTAACTATAATAAGAATATATATTTTGTGATAAGTATTTGTGTAAATAGGCTTCACACTGTTGTGTTGAATAATGTGCAGAGAACTTTAAAGAAATCACATAAAATATTTTTTCTGTAGTTTGATCCAGTGTCACTTAAAAATTTTGCTAGTCCCAGAAAACATTCTAGTTACATTTGAAAGACTTTACTGACCTTATAAACAAATTATAGAGAGCATCCTATTTTGGCTGACTATTTTAAACTTTTATCTGATGAGAAAGCAAGTAGGTATGACATATTGGTGTGTTTTTAAATTCTCTGAGTTAGAAGCAATGTTGTATAATATTTAATAGCTAAAATTTATTGTGTTCTTACTGTGTACTAAGCCCTTGTATGAGCATTACTTATGTAATTCTTACAGCAACCCTAAGTGGTAGGTACTACTTTTATCCTCATTTTACCAATGAGAAAACTGAATCTCAGAAAATATTTTGGCCAAGTCAGTCCAAGAGTTGGTAAATAGTAATGCCAGAATTAGAATCCAGATGGCCTGCCTTTAGAGGCTGTATTATTACCATAGTGCTGTACTACCAAAATTGTGCTATCATTGATATTCATCTTCTTTGTTGGTAAAATGGATTCCAATTTAATATTTTTTATGGTATGATAGGATATGATATGCAGGAAAGTTACTTAAACACTCTCAAGTGCTTTGTAAAGTACTGAGTTATTTGTGATAGATAAATGGATCCTACTCATTATGCTTTAAGAAAAAGCAACTTTCAAAGGGAAATTCTGAAATGACCTTTAGTTATTGAGTAGTTGAAAATATAGGAAATGTTAAAATCAATTTTTTATTAACCTTTGTTTTTAATTGGGAGAAATGAGAAATCATGAATGGATTTTCTTAGTTATATTATTTGAGGACATGACTAAAAGATATAGGGAAACTTGAGGATCTTAGTTCTTTGTTGTAGTAGTAATAGCCATAAATAGCAGCTGATATTCATTGCATGCCAATTATGTACCAAGCCCTGCTCTGAATATTACTTCATATATTATTATATATTATTTAATCCTTACAAGAACTCTATGAAGCAGGCAATATTATTATCCACATTGTATAGAATGCAGGTTTTTTAAGAATGATTTTAAGAAGTAGACTGATTTATATAAATAGTTATAGTCTTTTTGTTTGCTTTGTCTTTGTCTTGTAGTTGCAGATGATAACTGGATAATTGCAGCAAATATATTCAGGTTATTCCTTAACTGCTGCTGCTTTTTACCAAGCTATACCCCAATACCACACAGATACCCCCCTTCTCATTCTGTATCAGTGACCATACACACCTCTGCTCACCCTTTTTTGTGTGTGTGACAATGCACTGACCTCTATTTAGTACACCCTATCTTTAAAATCTGATTATATTTTCTTCCTAGATTTCAATTTTTTCCAAGTGTTATAAATCACTTCCTCTTTCATGTCTTTGCCAAGCCCTCCATTTAGTATCCCGTGTTTCCTTTTCATATCAAATCCTCAGCTGAGCAGTTAGTTTTTTCCTGCTCTGTACCTGTCATGGTTTTTCATGTGAGTCAGTCAGAATATCTTCTAAGTCCATCTTTTACATATGCACAATATGTGTGTAACGTTTGTATACTTGCTATTATTTGTGGTGTTTATGTATGTCTCATTATATACAGGGGATTAAAATAAGTTACTTATTAACCTTTTGCAATTTTTAAAGTATCTAAATCTTTTATCACAGTAAGAAAAATCTCAGTTTCTTTTTCCTTCACATCTCACTGTTTTTTAGGTTTTATGGCAGTTGGATATATTCCGACGAAGCTTGCGGGTTCTGACTGGACATATTTGTCAGGGAGATGCCTGCATATTTTGTGCATTGAAGGTAATCTTTCAATAGTTCTGTAAAATTACTATCAATTGTTTCTCCAAAAATTGAATCTTGATTGTTCACATGCTTGGTCAATTTGTTTGTAATTAAAGTTTATTGTCAGGTGATCTATAGTTTTTAACTCTTAAAGTATGACTTATTTAGGTTTATGTTTTCATTTTCTGCTTTCATATAAGAACAGTTAAAAATTAATATTCTAAATAGTATAAAATTGTTAGAAACATTACATTTTTTATTATTGAAATAATTCTTTGTTCATTTTAACAAATGTTTTTTGAGCTACTACTGAATTCTGGGTACTGCTGTAGTTTCTGAGGATACAGAAGTGAACAATACTGATTAAAACCACTGTTCTCATGGAGCTTATATTCTTGTAGGGGAGGAGACAATAAGTAAGCAAAATATAGAATATGTTAGATGGTAATAATTGCTACGGAGGAAAAATAAATCAGGGAAAAAGAATAGGGAGTGTTGAGTGGCCATGAAAGCCTCACTGAGAAAGTGACATTTGAATCAAGACCTGGAAAAGGTGATGGACTGAACTATAAAGCCATGTGGTGGAAGAGTCTTCTGGGCATACAGAGAAACAGTAACTATGTAAAGGCCTTGATATACAACATATTTCAGGAACACCAAGGAAACCTGGTGGCTGGCAGAAACCCCTGGTAGCAGGGGAGAGAATGGTAGGGGATGAGCTCAGAGGTAAGGTGAGTTGTGGTGGCTTTAAAACATGTCTTCAGATTCTCTGTATTCTTCCTATTTGAAGTCTAATTCTGTAAATATGGGCTAGCCTTAATGACTTATTTCTATGAAGTAGAATGTGGCGAACTGATGCTGCAGGACTTCTGATTAGAAAAGGTGATATAGCTCCCACCTAGCTCTCACTCGTGGGGTGCTTATTCTTGGAAGGGAGCCACCATGTTGTGAGGAAGCTGAGTGGTCGCATGGAAAGGCCACATGCAGGCATCCTGGACACAGCTACAGCAGAGGTCCCAGCCAACCACAAGACATGAGCGAAGGACCTTCGGATAGTTCTTGGTCCCAGCATTCAAACTGCCTCAAATGACTCCAAGTGGAGCAGAGTTGAGCCATCCCTACCCAAATTGCAGATTCATGATTTCATGATCAAAGTAATTTTTTTTTTCAGTAACTGAGTTTTGGGGTGGTTTGTTAGGGAGCAGTAAATCACTGCAACAGGAGTTCAGATTGTATAGGATCTTATAGGCCTTTGTGAAGACCTTGGCATTTTCTCTTACTGATTTAGGAAGTTTTGAGATTGTTTTGAGTGGAGGAATGATATAATATATCTTAACTAGGTGTAATGATTGAACTAGTTCCTTTTGGCTGCTCTGCTGAGAATAAATAGAAGAGAGACAAAGGCAAAAACAGGGAGTCCAATATATGTTAAGAATTCACTTGTGTCATTGAAATCTTTTGCCCCAGAATTCAAGATTTTGTTAACGTGTTTTAGAGATAAATTTTTTTCATTCTATGTTCTTGAATATCCTTAATGAACACACACACACACACACACACACACACACACACACACACACACATTAAAAAAAAATTTACATACCTTAATTTCCTAATAATCCTGAAGGGGCTGTTTGAGTAAGTTACCGACGGAAGAAATTTTATGTTCTCATTTTTAGAACATGGCAAAATCGGGTTATAGTTTAGGATGGAAAATGAACCTAGACCAAATTACGGTATCACTCTTTATTCCAGCAAATTTTGAATGTTTTACCCAATTGTAAAAACTAGTCCAGTTCAGTTTCCTAGCCCAATTTTTTTATAGCCCTATACAATCACCTCTTGTTCCTTCTGCTTGCCTCCCCCTAAAACAAAGAAACAAACAAACAAACAAACACCCCATGCATACCATCCATTGCACTACAGCCAAACTGGCTTTCATTTCTCAGAGCTGGCTGCCATCTTCAAGTCTTTTTTCATTGTTATTCCTTTTGTCTGGAATGCTTTTCTTCCACATGTCCTCATCGCTAACACACTTATTTCCTTTATGCCTCTCCTCAAGTGTTTTTTCCATCAGTGAGGCCTTCCCTGACTACCTTAGGTAAAAGGTAAGCTGTTTCCCTCTGTCTTACCTCTGGCATTCCTATCCCCATTACACTGCTTTATTTTTCTTTCTTGTATTTCCTTACTTTTTTCTCTGTTGTACTTAATCACATTGTGACATATTAAATAATTACTTATTTGCCTTCTTGTGACTACAACTAGAATGTAAGCTCCATGTGGGCAGTGTTGTCATCTGTTTTCTAGCATAGAACAATGCCCGACATATACTAGGAAGCAAAAAATAAATGATAAATGATGATAAATGAATGACAGTGTTGTACAGGATTAATATCTTAAACATTACCTGGAACAGTTAATTACCTAAATAAGACAAAATCTAAAAATTATTTTTTATCTTCTAGTATTCATGATTTTTTTTTTTCCTTTTTTGTCTTTTTTACTGACCGGTACGGGATCGCAACCCTCGGTGTCGTGCCCATACCGGGGACCGGCAACGGGATTGCAACCCTCGGTGTTGCGCCCACGCCACGCTCAGCCAGTGAGCGGGAACCGGTCACCACATGGGATCCGAACCCTCGGCGGGAGCGCCGCCGCGCTCCCAAGCGGCGCACCCTCCAGTGCGCCACCGGGCCGGCCCTAGTATTCATGATTTTAGCTCTTGTGATGTATAAAATAATTATAGTTCTGGCTATCTAATATCAGTTGGCATCTTTATTTTTTAATTTTATTTATGTTAAGTTTTTTTTGCTGTAGTAGAACAGACTCATGAAATATTTTTCTAGCCTACCATATATTACATGTAAAAAAAAATTTTTTTTTGCTATGACATGAACTGAATTTGGCCAATTCTTATTTGGTGGGTTGTCATTGAAACCTTTCTTTTTTCCTCACTTCCTTCCACATAAGATTGCATAAAACTGGAACTTATTTAAAAGTATTTCAGTTGTTTAAATTCAGTAAGGAAAATAGAAGACCAGATTAACATATATAATCTCATGTCCTTGAATGATGTTTCCACAGTTTCTTAGGCTAAGGTTAGAAGCAATTCTCAAAGTGAGGAAAATAGATAAGTTGGGAGAGAGGAGGACCTTTTCTTAAAAAATTAAATGTAATTATTATTTCTTCTCTGATGCTTCTTATAAAATGTACATTTGAATTTTTAAAAGGAAATTTAGTATAATAATAGTGAGAAATTGTCATTCTATTGAGGTTGTCTAAGTTTTGTTTGTTTTTCAATAGGAGTTTATAATTTTCTGAGGTTTAAGACCCTAGTAGAAGAAATAAAACATTTTAAAAGTTCATTTACATTACTTTAACTTTTTTTCCTAAGATTTGTGAATTCCTACTAATTTTTATGTGATTATATCTTTAATTTCTATAGTATATTTTTAGATTTAAAGCAACTTATCTCTAAATTCTGTTCTTAAACAAACTACATCAGAATCATATGAGGAATAGTTTAAAAATGGGCCTCACCTTAGGCTTACTCAGTCAGAGTCTCTGAGGATGGGACCTGAAAACTCTACATGTTTAATTCTTATGCATGCTAATATTTGATTTAGAGGCTGGTAAAACTATTTCTAAACTTTACTGATATGAATAATTAGTTTTAATTTTTATATGGAATGTTAGAGCAAAACACTATTCTGTATTAATTTCTGAGCATAGAGGTTTTTTTGTTTTTTTTTTTCTTTTTCTTTTTAACATTCGTTTGTACATATTTGTTGGGTATAGTGTGTTGTTTCAATACATGTATATACTATACATAGATTCACTTAGTGTAGATAGTGTAACTAGTGTACCTTTTACTCATTAATCCACACTTTCCCTTCCCCTGGTCCCCCTCTCCCTCCATCCATGTTGCTGCCAATGACAGCATGTTATTTTCTTTTAATAGCTGAATAGATTTCCATTGTGTATGTATACCACAGTTTTTTTATCCATTCATCCGTTGATGGGCGTTTAGGTTGATTTCATTTCTTGGCTATTGTGAAGTGTTGCAATGAACATGGTAGTGCAGGCATCTTTTTGATATATTGATTTTATTTCCTTTGGGTATATAGCCAGTAGTGAGATAGCTTAGCTCAGTTGTGAGGTATATCTATTTTTAGTTCTCTGAGGAATCTCCATACTGTTTTCCATAGTGGCTGTACCAATTTACATTCTCACCAGCAATATAAGAGTTCCCTTTTCTCCACATTTTCACCAGCATTTGTTATTTTTTATCTTTTTGGTAACAGCCATTCTAACAAGGGTGAGATGATATCTCATTGTGGTTTTAATTTGTGTTTCCTTGGTGAATAGTGATGTTGAGCATTTTTTCATAGGTCTGTTTGTCATTTGTATGTCTTCTTTTGAGAAATATTTGTTTGTGTTCTTGCCCATTTTTTAACTGAGTTATTTTCTTTCTGTTGAGTTTCTTACATATTCTGGATATTAGCTCCTTGTCTGACGTGTAGTTTGCAAACATTTTCTCCCATTCTGTAGGTTGTCTCTTCACTTTGTTGATCATAAACCTTTTTAGTTTGATATAGTGTATGAAAATATATAACAAATTTATAGTATATAGAAATACATTGGGGCATTTTTTATTTAGTTGCTTGTGCCTGATAGTCTCATTCAAAAAAACACTGCCCATGCCCATTTCATACAATGTTTCCCCTATGATTTCTTCTAGTAGTTTCAGGTCTTAAATTTTGGTCTTTGATCCATTTGTGGTTGATTTTTGTACACAGAGCGAGGTAGAGGTCTAGTTTCAGTTATCTACTTGTGGATATCCAGTTTTCCAAGCACCGTTTATTGAAGAGGCTATCTTTTCCCTAGTGTACATTTTTGGCACCTTTGTTGAAAATCAGTTGGCTATAAATGTGCTCTGTATTCTGTTCATTTGGTCCATTTGTCTATTTTTATGCCAGAGCCATGCTGTTTTGGTTACTATAGCTTTATAGTATATT